TCCCCTCCCTTCTTCTCCTTCCTTCCTTCCATCTATCTTAACTTATCCCTCCTTCTCTTCTCTTCTCTTCTCTTCTCTTCTCTTCTCTTCTCTTCTCTTCTCTTCTCTTCTCTTCTCTCTTCTCTTCTCTTCTTCTTCTCCTCTCCTCTCCTCTTCTCTTCTTCTCCTTCCTTCCTGTCTTCTTATCCCTCCTTCCTTCTCTTCTCTTCTCTCTTCCCTTCCCTTCCTATCTTATCTTATCTTATCCCTCCTTCCTCCTCCTCTGCTCTCCTCCCTTCCTCCCTCCCTCATTCCTTCCTCCCTTCCTCCCTTCCTTAATTACTCAAAACAAAGATACAATTTCAGAAGCTATAATATCAATCAATGGGCAAAGAGAATGACTAAAGTTATACCATCAGTGCTCAGTATAATGTTAGTAAAGGGTTGACCATTATTAAAAGACAAAGTACTTTTCTTAGGGTGGGCAAGAGAGAATGTCCAGTGTATTTTATTTATTTGATTTCTATCCACCTTTCGTTCAGGAGCTCCAGAGGCTGCGTAATAGTGCTCCTCCTCCTTTTCCCCATCACAGCAACCCTGTGAGGTTGGCCAGAGGGGGATTTTCATTGCTCCTTGAACGCTTCACGCCCCGTTTCGCCACTTAAAGAAAGCAAGGCGGTCTTTATTTTGGCAGAGAGTCCGAGATCCTCAGCTGAGTGGGGTAGGAGGAAACCGTAACTCAGGCTGATGGTTTGCGGAGGTTCGCCCTTGGCTCAACTCTCGGTCTCCTCCTGTTCGTTCGCAGTGGCTATAAACCTGATCGTGCAGCACATCCAGGACATTCTCAGCGGCGACCTTTGCAAGTGGCACCGTGGGGCGGCGAATGGGCACGGCCGCTCGTCCAAGAGGCCTTTCCCGGAACAGGCCGACAGCATTCCCCTCCTCGCCTCCGGGAAAAGGTCCCACCTCGAATCCAGCAGCCGGCCCCACTGACCGGCTCAGGAGCTTGGGATGCTCCTCCACACCAGCTGGACTTGGCAGACGCTCTGGGGGTCCCTTAACAAGCCAGCCCTTCGCTCAGAGGGTGGATTAGCTTTTCTTCCCCAAACAGTACCTAAACGAGCCCCGGTTTGTTTGGGACGAAATCCTGAAGTAAACTGTGGGTGGATCCGTCCTCCCTCCCTCTCCTTCCCTTCTTTTCTTCCTTCCCTCTCCCTCTCCCTCTCCCTCTCCCTCCCTCCCTCCCATCCATCCATCCATCCATCCGTCCATCCATCCATCCATCCTTTCTTCTGCACTCTCATTTCCTTCCTTCCTTCCTTCCTTCCTTCCTT